CCCCCCCGCTCTACTCCGCCTGGATTGGTTGTTCATCCCCATAGCTGCGTGCTGATTGGCTCTCATCTCTGTCACTCCCTTTCGGCCTAGTGGCGCGCGGCGCGGTAGCGCTGGGCAGGAGCGTGAGAGGAGGCGGTAGCGGCGGAAGTGGCCGGCGATCCCGGTCCCCGCCGACACCATGGTGAGGGCAAGGCGATGGCGGGGTCTTACCGGGAGGCGGGGGGCGCAGCCGTCCAGTGCCTTCCGGGGGATAGGGGCCGGGGCGGCGCCGGACGAACGTGCAGTCCGAGCCTCGAGCCCCGCCCCCCGGCCCGAGGCGGGGAAACTGAGGCCGGAGAGAGTAGGTGGCTCCGCCGGCGCGCTCAGCGCGTCGGTGTCGGGGGATTTAGGGTTGAACGCATGTGCATCCTTAGCACAGCGGCCTCGCCGCCGTCTTCCCATTTTGCAGATGGGGAAACTGAGGCCAGAGAGAGGAGACCACCGAAGGCCACGGTGATGCAGCAGAGTGAGTTTTCGGGCAGGAGAGGGATTCCGCGCTCGCCCGGCTCAGTGTAACCTCGTAGCTGGAAAAGCTGGAGCGCTGGGAAGTTGGGGCCGGCCTGAGTTCTCGAGGGAAGTCAGTTTGGGGGATGTCAGGGCTTGGGGGCCTTAGAATGTCAGCAGTAAGATCTCTTGCGTGCACCTTCTTATTTCCCGGGTGGAAAGTAGACCCGGAGAGGGAGTTGTTTTCCCCGGGTCACAGAGCATGTTGTTTCAAGGGAAGGGGGCGTTTTGAGCCAGGGGTGGACAGTGCATCCTCCAGTAGTATAGAAGGAAAAACTGAGACTCACCCAGGGCCGCATTGTTCACGGTTGTGGAGGTTCCCCAACGTACAGGTAAGGAGGCGGGCAGCCTCCTGGCCATTAGCACCCAGCCCTTATGTTTTCAGGGAGAGAAACCAAGCCCCCAGTGGGGGAGCGACTTCCAGAGTCATTCCGTGAAACAGCGGGGGATACTGGACCCAGGCCAACGAGGGCTCCCAAGGGGTGGCAGCACATTTCTCAGCCCAGGATTTAGTGAGAATTCCTGCTGAATCTTCCCGGTCGGGATAGGGGTTCAAAGAAGAGAACCCGTCTGTCTCTGCTGTATACCGGGAGGGCAGAGTTGGCACAAGGGGATGAGCAGAACTAGAAGGATCCATCTCTGCATTAAGCTCCATGGAGGCAGGATCTTTGTTTATATCACCGATATATTCTTGGTGTGCGGAACAGTGCCTGTGCAAAGTTTTTTTTTTTTTAAAAAGATGACCGGTAAGGGGATCTTAACCCTTGACTTGGTGTTGTCAGCACCACGCTCACCCAGTGAGCGAACCGGCCATCCCTATATGGGATCCGAACCCGGGGCCTTGGTGTTATCAGCACCGCACTCTACCGAGTGAGCCACGGGCCGGCCCCTGTGCAAAGTTTGGATTCATTCATTCTGCATGTTCCTACCTTCTGAACATCCAGAGAGTACCCAGGTCCTGGCTTTCTGGGAGTTTCCTGGAGGAGTAGCCAGGCAGGAGTGGACAAGACATGACAGACATACTCTCCTAGTTCTCTGTGGTCAGGGCAGAGCCAGAAGAAGGAGTGGCCTGGGGGAGTGGTGGGGGTAGGGAGTCCTGTAAGGCTTCCTGAATGAGTCCTTGATTGGTCTAGACCTGAAGATCAGACCCCAGATGTCCTAAGAAATCCCAGAGAAAGGAATTCCCTTTCCTGAAGCTCTGTGACTGTCTCAGCTCCAGATGGCCCTGTCTCCCCCTGAACTGGGTAACTGACCCTCTTCCATTTCACTAGGCACTTTGATGTACCTTTTAAGTTCTTGAGGATCGGGCCGGCCCGGTGGCGCACTGGATAGTGCGCCGCTTGGGAAGCGCGGCGCTTGGGAAGCGCGGCGGCGCTCCCGTCCGATCGGATCCCACATACGGACCGGCTCCCGCTCACTGGCTGAGCGAGGCGCGGGAGCAACACCGAGGCTTGCAATCCCTTTGCCGGTCCCCGGCCCGGTACGGGGGCAACACTGAGGGTTGCGATCCGTTGCCGGACACGGAAAAAAGACCAAAAAAAAAAAAAAAAAAAAAAATTTTTTGGGGACCCCCCCTTTTTTTTCCCCTTTCTCCCCCCGGGTTTGGGGGGGGGGGGGGGGGGGGGGGCGCCGCTGGGGAAGCGCGGCGCTTGGGAAGCGCGGCGGCGCTCCCGTCCGATCGGATCCCACATACGGACCGGCTCCCGCTCACTGGCTGAGCGAGGCGCGGGAGCAACACCGAGGCTTGCAATCCCTTTGCCGGTCCCCGGCCCGGTACGGGGGCAACACTGAGGGTTGCGATCCGTTGCCGGACACGGAAAAAAGACCAAAAAAAAAAAAAGTTCTTGAGGATCCACCCTTTCTTTGACCTCTGTCTCCAGCAGGTTTGGGGGATGAGGACGGGGGGAGTGGTAGAGGAAATCAAGACATGGCTACTGTTCGAGGCCATTGCAGTCTCGGAGGGTCTCAGCCTGGGAGTTGAGTCCCTGTCCCTATACTACTTCTCCCCATCTGAGCCACTCTTTTCATTATCTTTGGGTTGGGGCAAGTGTTCAGCCTACCCTCCACCTCCTTGGGTAGTGTGTGCTTTTCCCTCCTGTATTTATTCAGCAAATATTTAGCCAGTCCCTCTCGTGTGCCTGGCCCTTTGCTGGGTGCTGGGCAAAGTCTACACCCACTTTGAGTTTTCCAGTCAAGCCTGAGGGAAAGGTAGTAAATAAACAAGATAATTAGAGGCTGCCTACATCCTGTAATGGAAACAGCCATACGGCAGAGGGTGGCCATTAGGGCCTAGCTGCAGGAGATCTGGGGAAGGTCACTCCAGGCGGAGGCAACAGCAGGAACAAGGGTCAGATGGCAGGAACGGGTGTGTTGGCCAGTGTGGCTATAGCCTCGGCTTGGCTCTGTGGCCCATCTGCGGAAGGCTGTGACAGTCCCATCTGTGTCTGACATTCTACTGCTTTGTGGATAGGGGACTGCCAGTGACAGTGGAAGAGGTTGTGGGTCCTCCAGGGCTGTGCTGCTGGTAGCTGGGTCAAGGTAGTGAACCAAGAAGGGCTGTCATCAGCATAGAAGGTGTGTGTACACAGGACATCTGTGAGTCACCTGCTGACAACAGGCACCAGCCTCTAGCTGGCTCTGCCAGGGCTTGCTGTGTGTCCCTGGGCAGGTCCCTCCCATTCTGGGTGCTTAGACCTCATCTGCAGACTGAGTGGACACTGAGTCCATCTTCATTCTTGCCTTCAGGGGCTTGCCTGACTTCTGCCCCTTCTCCAGCATCCTGGGAGGAGAGGCCAGGCATCTCATCCCCCTGGGAAGAAAACAGGCTTGCCAAGGAAAATCCGCAGCTTCTCCACAGTAAAGGGTGACCCGGGCATGGGCCCCACGTGCCAGCCTGGAGCCCCTGTGTTTCCTCTAGGCTCTCTAGCGTCAGGGGGGTTGCATTCCAAGTGAGAAGCCTGCAGGCTGACCCCAGCCCGCCCACCTGCTGCTTCTAGGAGTGGCGCTTCTCCACCACGTGGCCTCTCCTTCCTCCTTATCTGGCCCTTCCAGGAAGTCAGTGGAGGAAGTGGGCTTGGGCCTGGCTTCCTGCTGGTGCCAGACCTTCCCCAGGCAGCTCTTCTCAGGAAGGGTCTGTGGGATGCAGGATTCCCTCCCCAACCCCTTCCTTCCACTGGGGAGCCACCCGGGACGAGGGGTGGAGAGCCATTTCCGCTTCCACACGGTGAGGCCTTTGAGTTCCCACCCCCATGGATCGGGGTGGGGGTGGGGGGCACGGGACTCCCTGCAGAGGCTGCTGGAGGCCAAGGCGACTGAAATTCCAAAGTTGCCGGGCAAGGTGGGGTGAAGCCTCGGTCCCCTGTGAGGCAGTTTATCATCTTCAAGGCCCCTCAGTGCTGGCATCTTCATCATGGTTGTACTGGTGTGGGTATGTTGGACCCTGGATCCAGGCACTGCCACCTGAGTCACCCTTCTGGAAACCTGGAGGCAGCCCCCAGAGTACGGGTCATGCTTTGTGTCTCCAAAATGAAAGAGCTGATTTTTTTTCCCCCAGTTAGAAGAACATAATACTTTGGTCATAAAATTCAGTAATGACAGAAAAAGGTACGAGGGTACTTCAGAAAGTTTGTGGGCAAATAGAATTGAAAGAGAATAGAAATTTTTCCATGAACTTTTTGAAGTACTCTGGTATGTCCTGAAAGCTCACCTTACCTGGGTGAGTTTTTAAAGATTATATCTTTCAACGGGGCCGGCCCGTGGCTCACGGAGAGTGCGGTGCTGATAAAGATTATATCTTTCATCTGCCATTGCTTGTAGTAACCAGACTTTTTCTGGAATCTTCCTCTGCCCTCACCTGGGGACCGCCTGTCTTTGAAAACCCAGGTGTGACCTCAGAATGGGGTTGTCACCCCAGTCGGGGCTGCCCTCTGAGGCGTGGCCTTACACAGACAGACAAGGTCGGATGAGGCTGTGTCCCTAGCTTTGTGCTGGGCAAGACCCTCGGTCTCCAACTCACAGTGTCCTCAGCTCCGTCTCCTGGTGTCCTCCAGCCTGGGCGTGTCTCAGAGATGCCAAATGCGTGTAAAACACAGGTGGGAGAAGGAACTCTGTTGTGGTGCAACTGCAGCATGCATTGTAACGAGATGACCAGAACAGTCAGCACCAAGACCTGGTGGTGGCCGCCTCTGGGAGAAAAGAGGGGCACAAGGCTCTCTTTCCTAATCCGGGGTCAGGCAGAGTGAGGAAGTGGCATTTTCAGTTGGGGGTGATCGACATGTGCTCTTGCACCCCCAGCTCTGGGCGACTGGTCGTGGGAGCAGTGCGTCCCATCCCCACCCAGAGGCCAGAGCGCCCAGGTGCTGGTCAGACAGACCCAATCACGAGGCTCCGTTTGCCTTTCAGCTCCCCCTGTCCTTGCTGAAGACGGCTCAGAACCACCCCATGGTGAGTACGCATGGCCCGGGATGGAGATGGGGACGCTGTGGGCAGAGGGCATCATGCCTGCTTCCTGCCTGTCCACCAAACACTGCAGTTCATTGTCCTCTCCCTCACACACATGTCCAGACCTGTGTTGTTTCTGCTACTTATGAGAGTAGTGCGTGCTTATTAAGCATTTCAAACCCTACAGACGTATAGAAAGTGGAAGCTGCTTCCTAAATCTTCCCAGTGACTTGACTGAGTCTTTGATGTACACATGACCGGACTTTCACCATGTGTGCAAATGTGGATGTAACTTTTTTTCACATAAATGGGATCATGCTGTGTGCATTGTTACCTAAACTACTTTTTGTCCTTAACGACAGTGTGGCTTCTTTCCACACCGATGTGTTGTTTCTTTCCTTCTTTTCCCCCACAGATACATACACCATTCAGTGGCACTTAGGACATTCACACTGTTGTGCAACCACCAGCTCTGTCTAGATCCAGAATATTCTCATCACCCCAAAAGGAAACTCTGCATACATCAGCAGTCACTTCCCATCCCCCACCGCCAGCCCCTGACAACCACGAATCTGCTTTCTGTCTCTGGATTTACCTATTCTGGACATTTGATATGAATGTGATCATAGAATATGTGTTTTTCTGTGTCTGGCTTCTTTTATTCTGCATGATATTTCTGAGATTCACCCACATTGTAGTGTGTATCAGGACTTCATTTCTTAGGGCCAATTGGTGTTGCACTGTGTGGGTATACAGCACATCGTGTTAATCTGTTCATCTGCTGATGGGCGTTGGGGCTATCGCCACTTTTTGGCTATTGCAGACAGTGCTGCTGTGAACATCTGTGTCATGTCTTTGTGCCATGTATCTTTATTTCTCTCAGGCAGATACCTAAGTTGATTCTTTTTTTAAATCTCAGCCTTTTCCTTGCACAGCGTATCTTCACAATTTTGTGCTGCTTATCTTTGTCCTCCAAACACACCAAAATGGACAAGTAATAATTATTATAATGAAGAACAGCATTTTCAGACCACCAGAGTCATGCGCCTCGTGTTGAAGGGATGTCTGCCCGGACCGGCCCAGATGCGCCTGCCTGGCCCCGGCCACCCTGAGTCAGTGGCCACTATTATTCCGACCTAGTTTTCCCCTTTAAAGATTTGGATATGTTTTAATTGTCCAAAGAATGGTCTCACTGGAGAGCTTAACAGCGCCAGCAATGTGTACAGGGAAGCAGAGCCTGTGGCCTGTAAGAAGGGCCATTTGAGGGCACTGGGTGCTGTGGCTTTGTCCCACCAGGTATCTGGACCAGGCCTGGGCAGTGGTGGCCCAACTCCAATGGGGCCCATGCCACAGGGCTGAGGCCACAGCCAACCCGTGGCCCGTTTCTCTTCCAGCTGGTGGAGCTCAAAAATGGGGAGACATACAACGGGCACCTGGTGAGCTGTGACAACTGGATGAACATTAACCTGCGTGAGGTCATCTGCACGTCCAGGGTGAGGCCCGCCCACTGCTGGGGGTGCATGCTTGGGCAGGGGCTTACCACTACTCGGTGTCCTCACTTCTAAGTGGGGTGAAGACCTCACCCTCAGTCTTGTGGGAGGAGCCAGTGGGTACAGGGGCAGGGCCTAGGGCCAGGCTGGGCCTCCAGGTCCCCCAGCTTGCTCTGGACTTTGCAGCTGTGGTGTGGGGAAGCTGCCCCTGGCTGGTGCTGAGCAGGAGCAGGGATCAGGCTGCCCCACTGGCCTCAACACTGTGTGTCTGTCTGTGCCACCCCTGACCAGGAAGGACTTGGGCCTGGGGGCTGGCATGTGGCCACCCCCTTGCCTGATCCTCCTCCCCAGCTCCTGTGGGCCACAGTGGTGTGGCTGTGTGACAGCCAGGATGTCCAAACCACCAGGGGGCGAGGGCAGCACCAAGGCCCCAGTGGACCAGGAGACATTGGCAGGAGCCTGAAACCAGGAAGTGCCTGGCTAGGAGCACTGCTGGATGGCTAGGGCTGGGGGATGGTGCCCCTGGGCTCATGGTCCTTTCCCCACCTTGGGATGACCCACAGAGATGAGGACAAGGATAGGACAGTGGTGAGGGCGATGGCATTCTCTCGCTAACCTGTGCCTTGACCCTCTCTCTGCTCCACTGTCAGTCAGTCCCCCATGGTACAGGGAGAAAGCTGCTGGGAGGTGAGATGTCTGCTCCGGCCACCTCAACAGAGCAGGGCAGGGGAGTGCCTCCTTTCTTCCCAAAGTGGCTGGCTCTCGCCTGGGTGGGGCACCCCTTCCTCACAGACTTGGGTTCTGTGCCAAGTGGTGGGGGTCGTTCCACAGCAGGCCACCAGAAGTGGCCTCCTGGCATTTGATGTTCTGCTGGCGGGCATCTGGATGGGCCCAGCCTGGCGCACAACCGTGTACATGTCGTTCTGCACTGCCTGACAGGTCTTTGTCCATATCTGGGACTTGGAGTATGCGAGTGTGTCGCAGAGCATGAGCATGTGGGGTTTTGTTGATGCCCCCTCACCCCAGATGTGACAAGATGATGCCTTTAATTCAGAGGCTGGATAATCCCCGGTGTTGGTCTGGCCTCCACTGCCAGCTTAGCCTGGACCCATGGCTTTCCCTGGGCAGTGCCCCTCTGTGACTGAGGATCATGGCTCTGTCACCAGGGATTGGGAAGGGAGGCCCGTGTGACTCCTACTCCCTCCCTCGGATGGTAGGATGCAGAGACCCCACCTTTCTGGGAAGCAAATGCCCTGAGGCCTTGAGGGGTTCCTGTGTGGTCAGGGGCTTATGTGTGTCCCTGGGGAGACTCAGCAGCCAAACAGTCCCTTTGTCCCCCGAGACTGACCCAGGTGTGGAGGAGAGAGACTGATGGGAGGACCGGAGGTCTCAGGGAGGTGAGGCCTTTCCGGGGCTAGAGTTAGCTGGACAGGGGAAGGCAGGAACCATGTGTGTAAGCCGGGGGCAAGCCTGTGGTATGTGTTCCAGAAGCAGTTCCATCTGCAAGGATGGGGAGGGGGCTGGGAGAGAGCAGCTGGGCGGGGCTGGATCTTGGGCCATGCTGAGGAGTCTGGACCTCTTCCTCAGGCCAAAGGGGGTCCTGGGTGGGTTCTAAGCAGGGAGATATTGGAATCTGCTTTCTAGGAGCATGGGGGTGAAGGGCTGTCCAGGAGCCCAGGCAGAGGCCTGGGGCTAGGAAACTAATCTGATAGAAGAGGCCCTGGCTCCTGCCCAAGGGTGTTGGCAGTGGGGTGGGGACAGGGCTTTATGCGAATCTCTTGACACATCCTGGTGGGAGAGGTGGCTGATATCTTAGGAACCTCAGGTTTGGCCTGGATGGGAGCAGATGCTGCCCCCAGCCATCTGCACCCAACTCTGCAGGGACCCCACAGATCTGAGACCCCCTCCCAGGGCTGCACTGGACAGGGTGAGCAAAACCGGACTCCCTTTTCACACAGGACGGGGACAAGTTCTGGCGGATGCCCGAGTGTTACATCCGCGGCAGCACCATCAAGTACCTGCGCATTCCTGACGAGATCATTGACATGGTCAAGGAGGAGGTGGTGGCCAAGGGCCGCGGCCGTGGTGGCCTGCAGCAGCAGAAGCAGCAGAAGGGCCGTGGCATGGGGGGCGCTGGGCGAGGTAGGCCTCCCCTCCCCTACAGCAGGCGGCACCACGTGGCGGCCGTCCTTGCTGTGTTGACATTCTTGGCTGGTGTCATCACAGTGTGTCCCTGCCTCTGAGCTGCCCGCCCCATGAAGCTGAAGAGGGTGGGTGGATATGACTCACGGGGCCCCTCTGGGGAGCGGCTGGGGCTGCCACATGTCATCCATGCAGGGCAGCGCCCACTGGGTGGGGGTCTGGGCGCTGTGTAAGTGGAAGGGCTGCGCTTGCGAGCCCTGTGCTCCGGGCTGCTCTGCTGGTGTAGCTCAGGGAGTGGCAGGACCTGGGCCCTGAGCCCTGATCTTGCTGCTTGGCTCCCACTGTGTTACCTCCTGGTGGGTGCTCTGGGCACATCCACTTGCCTCCCCAAGCCTCAGTTTCCCTTCTGCAGAGGGGTCCGTCAGTGCCCATGTCTCCAGTGTGCTGTCAGGGACCCCAGCTCGTCATGGCATGAGACCCTTTCCTTGCTATGATTCCCTTATACAAAGCCAAGATCACGTCTCTTGTGATGGACTCTTGCCTCCCTCCCTCCTTGAGAGATTATAAATCTGGCATAAAATTCGGTTTGTTCTGCTGTCAGCTTGGGCCCAGAGGCCATCTGCAGATCCCTAGCTCTGTATTCTTAGAGGGCCCTGGCCTTTGTTTCTTTTATCTGTAAGCACCTCCTTTGTGCGAGGCTGAGGTCCTGGCCTGGGGGCTTGAGGCAAAGCCTGGCCTACCCTCCAGTAGCTCCCCCGGGAGGCCACAGGGCCCTGAGCAGAATCTCAAGGGATGGTCAGGAGTGAGCCAGGGAAGGGGGCAGGGATGGTGCTCCCGGCAGGGAGCCTCTGTAGGCCTGGGGGTGAGCCTGTGCCTGGACCATGCCTCTGTCTGTCCCCTGTGCTAGCTTAAGGGCCTAGCTCTTAGCACTTGGTGCCAAGGCTGTTGAAGGGGGGTTTCTTGGCCCTCAGCGGCAGCAATCTTGCAGAAGCCCCTCCAGGCTACAAAGCTGACCTTGCCTGGTAAGAGGTGAGGCTGGATGGCCCACGGCTGGCTGGCAAGAGCCCTGACCTCTTGGAGCCTCTGTGACGCCAGAGCCCAACTCCACTTTACGGAGTTGAGGTGTGCAGAGAAGACAGTGATTCCAGCCTCTGCAAGGGTCAGTCTCAAACTGCAGGCTGAAGGTTCCCCCCGCCAGTAGGCTCCACAGAGGGGCCCCGTGGTGAGTGCTGCGGGTGTACCGGCTCCTCTCGCTGGAGTTGGCTTTCCTGGTTTCCGAAACTCTGGTGAAGTATTTACCTGGCTAGAAGGTTCCCAGAAATAGCTCCCTAGGGGGCTGGCCGGTTTGCTCTGTTGGTTAGAGCGCGGTATTATCGGGGTTTGTATCCCCGTACTGGCCAGCTGCCCCCCCCAAATAGCTCCCTAGATGGGGCTCACAGAGCCAGGGGGTCCTGGGAGATGCGGCTCTTTCTTGCACCCCCCAAGTGGAGGAGTGTCAGGTTGGGACTCAGTGCTGTGTGCAGGCACGTGCCCCTCCACTCTCCACCAGGGGCTGTGGGTGCTGCTAGAGCAGAGGAGGCCTGGGTCCCCAGTGCAGCCCCCAGCCTCATCATGCTGCCCCAGTCTCTGCCCCCACCTGCCTCAGCCTTGGCCTTGCTCTCCCCTCCTGGAAGCCCTTCTGGCTCTGTCCTTTCCAACGACCCCCTGCCCTGGTCTTCTCCCAGAATGCCTGCCCCAAGTCCCTGTGTGACTTGACATTGTCCTCTATCCTTTCTGGCCCTGGGGACTGGGTTTTGTCTCTTGTCATTATGAGAACATTCTGGAAGACCCACCCATGCCTGCCCTGGTCAGCTGCTCCACCCCAAGTTGGGGAGGTTGGAGGAGCACTGTCCCCACTTCACCGATTGGGTGGGTTCGAGATCTGGGCCAGAGTCCGAGGCCCATCTGGCTCCCCTGCAGCCCCCTCTCTCTGTCCCACAGGTGTGTTTGGCGGCCGGGGCCGAGGAGGGATTCCAGGCACGGGCAGAGGCCAGCCAGAGAAGAAGCCAGGCAGACAGGCGGGCAAGCAGTGAGTCCTCCCCAGAGACCGAGCCGCGCCTCCCTCCCGCCCGCTTCATGGGTCTCCTCCAGTTCATGGATGTGTCCTGAGAGAAAAGAAGCAGCAGGTGGGGGGAGGACCCCCCTCACACACACTGCATTTTGTGATTCTCCACTTTAGGTGAAGTTTCTTTTTTTTTAACCAGCAGTTCTACAGTTGGGAATGTCCTTTGGGTGTTTTTGGTTTTGTGAAGTCACCATCTCAGCAGCCAGCTTGATCCTGGAAGATTCTGTGTATTTAAGGCAGCTTTGAAGCCCTCGCTCTTGTTTTAAGGACATTTTCCAAACAGATTTGTTTTGCATTTAGCACTGCAGCCTCTCGTGGCAGTGAAGAGACAGGAGGTTTTTATTTCCAGCCGTTCCTGCTTAGATTGACAGACTTCAGAGTTTCCTTAAACGAGGCCCCAAAATTGCCTTTTAAAACAAATGCAGACGAATGACGTATGCCTTAGAACCTGTTCAGGGATGTTGCTGGGCCCTGCCTCTCCGTTTCCTCTCTGTGTTACAAAAATAAAATGGATCCAACTACAGACTGCAAATCCATCATTCCTTCTGAGTCGCTGGGCACACCTGGCGAGTTGTGTCCTCTGTCCCTGAGCTCAGGAAATCACAGTCCCCGCGAGAGAAGCTTCCTTTCCAGGGCTGTGGCCTGTCTCACTAGGTGGGAGTGTTTCTACAGGGTCACTGGTTCCACATCCCTTGGTGTGTCCTCTTACAAAAGGTGAGACTGGTGTCTGGGTGGTAGCCGGCTACTGAGGGTCCCCCTCAGCCCCCACGTCAGATTATCCTGTTATCCCCTCCCCTCTTGATAGAGATGGCTAATGCTGTGGGGAGGGAAGGTCCTGGGCAGGAGCCAAGTGTGGTACCCCCGTGGCCTGGGCTCTGTCATCTGCCAAACTCGAAGGTCTCACAAGGCTCCTTCCTCCTCTGCAAGTCGAGGCTCCGCATGTCACACCTAGGTAATCCACAGAGACCTTAAGTCAGCACTTCTGGAAAGTGCTTCCTGTGACCTTGTCCACAGACAGTTCCTTTTGTAAGTAAAGCGGTGTGACCGCAGGGAAGGCCTGAGACACGTGTCGGCTGGTCCCTGTCAGCACGCATTCTCACCGGCACTGCCGTGAGACTGCTTTGAGGGTGGGTGGGATATAATGTCTTGCTGCATGTGGAACTCCATTTCCTGGGTCTTCAGAGTTCTACCCGCATCTCACAGATCTCCGTGTTTAAGGTCTTTTTAGCCTGGTGCCCACGACTCCCCTGGTCTCTCATGGGACCCACTGCCACCCGGATCCTTTTCTGGGGACAGAGTCCAAGTGGGACTGAGGGATGGCAAGCCCTGGGCCTCACAAACCCACCTCAACAGAGTGGGTGGCTGTCCCCAGGGAGGGATGGGCTGCGGGGGGAGGGTTCTGGAGGAGGGAGAGTCCTTGGCAAAAGGGGCAGGAAGGGAAGGGGTGTGGGGAGGGAGGGAAGCATTGTTTGCAGTAAAACCCCCCCCCCCCCATCGCCCTGGACTCTGGCTTACAGAGGCCGCTGGGGCTCTGGTCTGGGGGGCTGGGCCCCTCCCTGCCAAGGGTCGTCCCTGTCACAGGCTTTGATGCAATCTGGAAGCTCTGGGGTCTCGTGTTCTAGGACACTGGGAGTGGGAAGCCTTTTGGAGGCCCCAGCCCCTTCCTGCTTATCTTGGTTCCGTGTTCCCTCCCTTGCTGATCCTTAACCTAGAATGTGTTCAAACGCCCCTGACTGCCTTTGCACAGTTCAGGGTCTTGGGCTCCATTTATGGGTCTTAGAGGGGGCTAATAATCTCTGGCACCTGGGCCTGTGTAATCGCGGCTTCTGGCCCACACTGCTGGAGGCAGGAGCCATTCCAGTCCCGGCTCCCTTCTTTCCTGTGCCCCCTCACCCGCCCCAGCCCAGCTGCCTTTGCCTCGCTTAGGTGCAGCGGGCTTCCAGAAGCCTCCATCCTTCTGAGCTGGGTCTCAGGACAGCCCCGTATATCATTATTCCCGGTTGGTTTTCAAGAAGCTTTGCCACTAGTTCTCTCAACAAGAAGAGAAACCAAAAGCATGGGCCAAGTTCCCAAATCCAGGGCCTCCAGATCTTCCTGGCATTCTGACGGCCTGCAGGATCCCGGGGCCACACCCTTGCCACCTGATGGAAGCCGCCTTTGCTGTAGGTGGTTACCACCGCCCCTGGGACCTCCACTCCTGGAGTGTGCCTTCTGCCAGGGAGGCCCACGCTCTGCTCCGCACTGAGAGCGTGACTCAGCCTGGGCTGAGCTCGGCTTGGCAGGGCCAGCCCCGATCCCCCTCAGCAGGCCTGGGTCTGCCACTGACACCGTCTCACCCTAGGTACTCAAATGCAGAGGCTGACCCCGGCCCAAGAGGTGGCCATGGGAGAGTGTCTTTATCCCTTTCCTGCGGCATCTCTGCCCTCCTGCGCACGCCTGGGTACCGGTTTCTCCTCTTCCTCAGCTGGGCTGCACCTGCGTTCCCAGAGTGACTATGACAGCCCCTCATCATGGCCTGTGTCCCTGTCATCTCCCTCCCCACCCCACCCAGCTGGACCCCAGGGCCTGACATGAGCCTGGCACGTCCTGGCATTGGCAGTGGGTATCCCCAGAGTCCATGCAGACAAAAGGACAAAGGACTGCTTGGCCGGTGGAGGGTAAATGAGATGGCCTGATATCCACCTAGAAGCCACTGCTGCAACGGGAGCAGAGGGCTGGCCGGGGTTGGAGGCACTGGGGCCACTCACTCTGTCCCAGGTGCTGCTGACACAGCCGTAAATGAGGCAGAGTCCCCACCCTGGCCGGAGCCAGCTACAAACAAGTCAGAGACATAAATGCTGTGCTGCAGCAAAGAAACCATGACCGGAGGGTATAGGAGGAGATGCAAAGGTCGGGGAGGTAAGAGGTTGACATTCAAAATTCGAGAAGGGCCTGAGGGATGCAAAGGAGACAGCCATCCAGGGGAAGGTTTTGTAGAGGAGGAACAGCCATGCAAAGGCCCTGCGCCCAGTGGGGATGGGAGCAAGTGAGGGGGCAGGCCCTGTGAGACGTGGGGAGCCTCAGAGGGTTCTGGAGCAGACCAGGGTGGAAGATGGCAGGCCAGGAGGAGGCAGTGCTGGTAGAAGACGCAATGAGGGCCCAGGCAAACAGGCTCGCGGTTCCCCAAGAAGCCTAGGATGCCAGGGTGGGACTGTTGGAGTCAGCAGGACTGAAGCCATGTTGGGACCTAAAACTGTCTGGACTGTGGAGGGGGGGAGGATTTTAAAAAGGACAATTTTTTTCTCTCCACTCTTTCTTCCCATCCCCTGACTTTCTTAATCTCGCTCACTAAGTAGGATAACAAGGCTGAGAAGCTAATTAGTACTCTGCAAAGCTAACAGTTCTTTCTTTGACACTTGTAGAGTTTTGAGAAATGATCAAGGCCAAATGACTGAAGCTGACCTTGGGCACTAGCCAAGTACACTGGCACAAATCAAAATCTTGCAGGGTCCTGAGATAACAGCGATGAGAACAGAAACCAGATGAGGCCTTGGCAAGACCTTGTACCTGACCCATAGAAACAGACCCCTTGTAACTCCCATCTCCTGCTCTCCTGCTTTTCACCTCCCACATTCCATTCCCTCAAGCCTTCCTTTAAAAACCCCTCAGTAAATGTAAATCTTTGAGATGGGACAGCCTGCCATCTCCTTCAGCTGAATACATCTGCTTTTCTAACACCAACCGTTTGACTTCTGAGTTTTTTTCTTTCCTTCTCAAGGGGGCGGGCAGCCGGACCTGAGTCTGGTAACAGGACCTCCTTCCCACAGAGGAGAGGCCTCACTGAGCAGTTCATGGTCAAACCAAGTCCCAAAGGACGAGAAGCCGATGGCCATGGGAAGAGAGCCAGGAACAGGTGGAAGGAACGGTAAGCACGAAGCCCCTGGGCTCCTGGGGCCCACTCGGTGAGGCAGGTCCAGAGGTGAGGCCAGAGTCCAGGTCGGAAGCCTCCCCGGAGCTGGGCTGAGCACTTGCCACTCTGCCTCATTTTTCCTGCAACACGTCTCACGTGACTTCTGTGCTATCTCCCACTGCTCAGACAAGATGACCGTAGGCGAGGGCTGGTGTCCCCCACGCTTCCACTCAGCCCTGCACCTCTGAGAGGCCTCACGGATGGAAAAATGGTCTCGGGACAGGCGCACCATCTAACCACAGCCCCACAATATTTATCTATCACCAAGTGTGTTCCAGGCAGCTCCTGAACCCACCCACGGGGAGCACTATTACTGCCCAGGACACAGAGAGGGCGAGTGACCCACCCCAGGTCACGCAGTGAGGGACTCATCCCTCTGCTCCCTGAGAGCTCCTCCCTCTATTGCCTCCTTGAACTTGAAGGATCCATTGACCTTCTCCAGGGTCAAATGTTTCAGATGCAAACTCAGGAGCCTGGAATTGATTGGGACAGGAGTAGGTGAGATTGGTTCCTGATTTAAAATTCACTCCACTGGGGGCCGGCCCGGTGGCGCACTCGTAGAGTGCGGTGCTTGGGAGCGTGGCGGCGCTCCCGCCGAGGGTTCAGATCCCATATGGAGACCAGTCCGCTCACTGGTTGAGCGCGGTGCGGGCGCGACACCGAGGGTTGCAGTCCTGTTACCGGTCACGAAAAAAGACAAAAAGGAAAAAAAAAAAAAATTCACTCCACTGGGGCCGACCCCGTGGCTCACTCGGGAGAGTGTGGTGCTGCTAGCGCCGAGGCCGTGGGTTCGGATGACACCAAGCCAAGGGTTAGGATCCCCTTACCGGCCACAAAAAAAAAAAAAAAATTCACTCCGGTGATTGGAGCATCAGCCAAGGGGCAGGGTTCGAGGCACTAAGTAAGGGGCCTGGTGAGTTTAACCCGTTGTGCCTCAGTGTCCTTTCTGGTCAGTGGAAATAGTATCAGCATCTCATAGGGATTGTTGGGAAGATTAGGTGATGGGAGAATGCCAGTAACGGACTTAGGATACGGTCTTTTTTTTTTTCCCAAAAAACATGACCGGTAAAGGGATCTTAACCCTTGACTTGGTGTCCTCAGCACCACACTCTCCAAGTGAGCCACCCGCTGGCCCAGGATAGGGTCTTGTACACAGCAAGTGCTCAATAAATGTTTGAAAACATCTAAGAGCTGCTCATTGTGCTCCACTGTCCTCCGTGCCCTGGGGGCCCCAGAAGCCTGGCCCCAGGCCAGCGAGCATTCACCTTGCAGGCCCTGATCCTGCCCTGTGAGCCCCCTCCTTGCCTGAGCCTGGCCTCTGTGGCCACCCAGCAGTGACTCACCCCTGCCTCACCTCCGCTGGAACCAGGCACTGAAATAGTCACCCAGCTCACTCTCAGGAGTGGCTGTGGAAATATTTCAGGGCTGCATTAAGCACCTAAAAATACTTGTGCTGTCCTCGAGCGTCCTCCCCTCCTCTGCAACACTGGGCTGGACCCTCCACACTGTACACCCCTAGCACCCGTGGCCTCCCTCCTCGTGCCATGGAGCAATGGAGAGGCTCCTTCCCCAGA